GTAAACAAATAACTGTATTGGAACACCCTCCCTACTCACCTGATCTGGCCCCCAATGTCATCTTTCTTTACCAGAAGATAAAGGAAATATTGAAAGGAAGACATTTTGATGACATTCAGGGCATCAAGGTAATACGATGACAGTTCTGATGGCCCTTCCAGAAAAAGAGTTCCAAAATTGCTTTGAAGGGTGAACTAGGCTGGCGTCGGTGCATAGCTTCCCAAGGGGAGTACTTGGAAGGTGACTGTAGTGATATTCAGCAATAAGGTATGTAGTACTTTTTCTAGGATGAGTTCAGGAACTTCATTGTCAGACCTTGTACATTGTGAAATGATTATCACAGTCAGACTAATTATCATATCCATCACCTCCAATAGTTGCTATTTTTGTTGGTGCGTTGTGGTGAGAACAGTTGAAATCTACTCTTTTAGCAAATTTCAAGAATATAATACATTATTATTAGCTATAGACACCATGCTGTACATTAGGTCTCCAGAACTCATTCATGTCATAACTCAAAGTTTATACCCTTTGATCATTATTTCCCCTTTTCCCCAACCCTTAGCCTCTGGTAACAACCTTTCTATGTTTTTGTTTTAAGGTGGTTTTTTTAGATATCACATAGTAAGACAAAGCAAAATTTGTTCTTGTGTTTCGCTTATTTCACTTAGATAATGTCATCCAGGTTTATCTATGTTGTTGCAAATGGCAGGATTTCCATTTTTTAAGGCTAAATAATTTTCTTTCTCTCTCTCTCTATAAATATACATATATATGACATTTTCTTTAACCATTCATCTGCCGACAGACACTAACGTTTCCATATCATGCTTACTATGAATAAGGCTGCAAAGAACATGGCAGTGCAGATATCTCTTTAAAACAGTGATTTTGTTTCCTTTGGATATATACCCACAAATGAGATTGCTGGATCATATGGTAGTTCTATTTTTAATATTTTGAGGGATGTCCATACTGTTTTCTATAGTGACTATAGCAATTTACATTGACATTCTTTTTATTGACTGTTTCCTTCACTGTGCAGAAACAATTTATTGTAGTTCCACATTTTTATTTTCACTTTTGTTGCCTGTGCTTTTGGTGTACATTCCAAAAACTCATTGCCAAAACCAATGTCAAGCTTTTCCCCTATATTTTCTACTGGGACTTTTTTTTTTTTAAGATTTTTATTGGGGAATTGGGGGATGGGAACAGCGCTGGGGAATTGGAGGAAGGGGAACAGGCAAGTTGCTGTCCTTTTGTTCTTAAGTCTAGTTGTGGAGGACGTTGCTTCACTGGCCCAAGTTGGCACCATCATTGTGCTCTTCCCATGCAAGGCAG